TTAGCAAATATATGCGTACCGTAATCTCCCATACCGGCTTGAATATAGACACCCCCATACTCTCTGTGAATATTGAGTTTATTGATGCACGATTAGTCAATATATTAGCAAATATATGCGTACCGTAATCTCCCATACCGGCTTGAATATAGACACCCCCAACTGATAACTGTTTTGGCAAAGGACAGGGTCCATATTTATCCCGCTTTCAAACTGGTATTGTTTGCAGACAGATCGTGTCGCGTAGTAGTGTATGTATACGAGAAAATGCGTCCCCCTGTACCCCTCTCTGAACAATGGATCATACGCTTGACATATTTCATTATATTTTGACGGTTTTCTACCGTCGTAGTCCGGTTCATCTGCCAGTGTCATTATTAATAACCAACCTGCCTTATCACAGTCCTAGTAATGCATACACAAGTAACTACTGACAAAATTTAATTTTTCATTCCTAAAACTGTTCTGGCTCTAAATATATATAGTAAGAGAAGGATAAATTACCAGATATCATCTTCTGATTCTTTTACTTTACCTTTCCCACTGAGTACTGATTTATAGCTGTATAATTCATCCCAGTATCTTTAATAATGGTGGTATTAACTGTTCATTGTTATATATGGCTTTTTTCACGCCAACCTGGGCTGGTTATACTCGAGGTTTTCAAAAAATGTTCCCCTAATTGTGCAAGCTCTGTATGAAGCATGTCTGTCGGAACCTGATGATTTTTAAAACCTGACTGACATTGCAACACATGATGTGAGCGGTATAAAGTTGTTTAGAGCTCACTGAATCTTAATTGGGTATTATAAACGTCAACGACCTACGCTGGAACTGTTTCACAGATGTCGTCGTCGGTGACTGCATCAGATTGCAAGAGTTGGAGTGAACGCATGTGGGTGTAATGCTTCAGGCGTAGAAATTAACTTCTGAACAATGGAGTCCAACGGACTCCCTGCCCTTAAAAAGAGTCCGCAGCAAAATGAGGGAGTCTGTAGTCTGAAGTTCAAAATTAAAGATATTAAAGCCGCACTATGCGCATCCAAATGCTAATTTCTCCAGTACTAGACTAGCAAATACTTCGTGTCATGCAAATCACACTACCTGTATGTCAAAATAAACTCTATGTTCCTCTCATTTCACTGCGCGTTTGCTTAAAACCCACAAGAAAGCAGGATGAGAAAACTGGCATTCTGGCGCAAACACGCCGAAGAATGTTTGCCAAACATATTTAGGCCTACGAAGTGTTATATAGGTGACTCCACATGTTTTATCTTTGCCTACACCGTAACGCAGCAGCCCTGCACGGTTCTTGCAGGCAACGCGAACGTGTCAACAAGATCGGAGAATTTTAATAAACATTGGAGGTATTTTCAATGCCTTTATAAGACAACTGCGCAGTGAAATGGAGGAACTAGAGTTATTTGTCATAAGGTAGTGTGATTATGCATGACACAAGTATTGCTAGTCTAGTACCGGAGAAATTAGCGTTTTGATGCGCATAGTGCGGCTTTAACAATAACGCATATGCTTATTTTGAAGATTCATGCTGTCTGCCAAATTTTCTTTGGACATTTGTTGGAAAAATACGTAATTCCGCGAGGCCGCGTGCTCTGGACGAACTAGTTAGTATCGCAGAATTTTCAGGAGTCACACGACTCCTGCATATGTCAAATCAGGGAGTCCGACAGTAAATCAGGGAGTATTTGACTCCGGACGCGCCTTCCCTTTTATCGGCAGGGTTCCTGGGGGAGGATCGAGGTCTTCCCGAGGGTCGCTGGTGGTCTTTCCTCTACGGCACCTGCATCACCATTTTCAACTGCGTCATATGTCTCGTCGGCGCAAAGCTGTTCGCAAGGATGTCGATGGGAATCCTTGCCGTCGTCATGGTTTCCGCACTCTCGGTCGTCATCAGCATCTTCGTTAACAACTACGAGATCGAGGTACGTGACTGCGGTGGATTTCTATAGGTGCATTAGCTAGGCGGGTAGTGTCGATGTGTACTGTGTGCTCTTATCTCCACGTAGGGCCTATAACCGTTTCTCGTATTCACAGTGGTTTTTTTTTTAAATATCGTAAATATCGGTGTTATCTGACGTTGATTTAGATAAGCACTGTTGAACCATGCTCTTAATATTTTATCTTATTCTTTAAAAGCACGTGTCATGGTGGAAACTTGTCACATGAACTCGGGTCAGTGTTACTAATGGACTAATTACTAATTAAACTGACTGCAGCAAATGATGTGAGGTTAAAACCACCGGCATATTCAATGTTACTATATGATATGGGAAATGTATTCTCTGCTGACCCCTTCAAATGCTAAGAGTATTGTATTTTATTATATTTTTAGGCAGACAATAGACAGTAGTTTAAAACTTTTTCTAGAAGGTTAGTTACATGGATTTATCGTAAAATAAAGTTAATGAGTAGTATTATATTAAGTCGTGATCTTAATATTATCATGAAACCTGTTGAACTAAGTCCAAGATCTCATCTGAACGTGTTTACAGGTGTCAATTCCCAAGTCAAACATGTTAGTGTACAACTCGACAACGATCTATGGTCCGTTCATCAATGGCACTTACTGGCCCTCAGCAGTGCAACCCTGCGGGATAATCTCTTCTGTAAGTTTATTATCTAAGTACACGAGTCTTGAAGACAGGACACCTTCTACCCATGGATGTCTCAATGTGCGAAGTGCATTTTTTGCATTGGCAAGGTTTTTTTTCTTATGCATGCTGCTGAATCACGCAGTGTTTTATTCTGACTTATAAACTGCAAATATATTGTAAATTATAGTCTGCATCAGTTTATATTTTTGCACATACTTTTGTCAAAGACAGATAGCACTGTTCTGAATCATGTACGTGTTTGTGCACCTACTTTTTTCTACGTTGATTATTGCCAAGTAGGGTTTTTTCCAAAGTCGCTGGACCTCCACATAATTTGTAGGCATGTGTTGACCAGTGCTAATTTTGCACCCTCAGTTTGTGTGTGTTTTGTCTATATGATTTGGTCATATTTACCATCGAAATAATGCATTTTTTCTTACTGTGACATTTGTCTTTAAATGACACACAGATAATCTTAAATAAATGTTGACGGTAGCTGTACGAGTGTGTGTGTGTGTATTGTGTGTGTGCGTGCGTGCGTGCGTGCGTGCGTGTGTGTGGCGCGCGCGCGCGCGCGTGTGTGTGTGTGTGTGTGTGTGTGTGTGTAGAGAGAGAGAGAGAGAAACCTGAAAGGGACGTGATGTGTCTGAGAGAGAGAAGAGGTGCGCGCGTGTGTGTGTGTGTGTGCGTGTGTGTGTGTGTGTGTGTGCGTGCGTGCATGCGTGCGAGTGTGTGTGTGTGTGGTGTGTGTGTGTGTTGTGTGTGGTGTGTGTGTGCTGTGCGTGCGGTGCGTGCGTGCCGTGCGTGCGTGCTGGTGCGTGCGTGCGTGCGTGCGTGCGTGCGTGCGTGCGTGTGTGTGTGAGAGAAGAGGTGTGGCGTGTGCGTGTTTTTGTTGTGTGTGTGACAGAGAGAGAGAGAGAACCAGAGAGGTGTGTGCGCGCGGCGCGCCGCCGTGGTGTGTGTGAGAGAGAGAGAGAGGTTGCGCGTGGTATGTGTGTGTGTGTGCTGTGTGTGTGTGTGTGAGTGTGTGTGTGTGTTGGGCGAGAGAGAGGAGACGAGAGAGGTGTGGCGTAGTTTGTGTTGTGTGTGTGTGCGCGCGCGTGTGTGTGTGGCGGTGTGTGTGTGTGTGTCGTTCTGTGTGTGTGTGTGTGCGCGTGCGCCGCGCGGCGTGTGTGTGTGTGAGTATGTGTGCCTGTGTGTGTGCGCAGTGGTCGGTGTTGCGTGCCGATGTGTGTGTGCGCGTTGTGCGCGTGTGAGTGCGTGCGCGCGTGGTGAGTGTGTGTGTGTGCGTGCGCGTGTGTGCGTGCGTGTGTGTG